AACACAGTGCAATGTATCATGTAGCATCAATCAGATTCAGTTTGATGTTTACGTTCGGAAATAGATCTTCATACGTATTAAGAGGCAATTGTTCTATCAAATAATGGTCTGTTTGTTTCTCTATATCAGTAGTATAATTGTACTCCATATGAATCACTATGGTTCTACTGCATCGAGGCATGAAATACATTCTTCATTCAAAGATTTAATCTGAACTAAATGAAATTACATTACAAGGTCAAAAAAAAATTATTACCCCTTGATTTGGAGAGAGAGGAGGATTGGCATCGCCAAACAGGTATCTGAAAAAGGCTTCAAAGCTAAGGCCCTTCCTGAGAAGTATGTTGAGATGCTTGAGCTCACGCAGACTGTCCACTATGGCCTGTGCGTCTTGTCTTGTGGCTCTCTCTTCCTTCTGAACTTCGATCAAGAACCTGCGGAGATGATGGACCGTCATGATCCCATTCTCCGAGTACTGCGCGAACAGGCGCTTGATCTCGTCCGGCGCTTCCTCCATGCGGAGGTTGAACCTCCTGCTGAAGCATAAGCACACCCGGTAAGTCTGTTTCCACATGGGTTTCGCAGAAAAACACGATCTCTTGTCTGTGAAGACGAAGCAGAAGAAGAAGAAAATAGAACAAAGAAAGTGTGAATGTTGGAGTCGATGATGCAGGAGCCATTTCTTTTCCTTTGTTTTTTTTTTTTATAGCGGCCAACTAATAAAGTCACGATTATATATTATGGATTAACGATGGGGATTGGTCAAGTTTATCCTTGAGAAAAGGGTGATTGTGAACTGTGCAGAAAGATGCTTTCGATGTGAGGATATATTTGTTTCTTATAGAATGTTGTAGAGAGGAGTTTGGTCTGTCCACGCAAAGGTGGTACTTTATTCTTTTATTAAGTTGATCATATGGCCTCACGTAAGCCAAAAAGAAAGAAAGAGAGAAGCACGACAACTATCTTGACTACTGTAATGTTTTATGGACCTGAAAATTAAGGTAAGATATGGCTACATCAAGTTTCACGTGCATGATCATAATGCTAAGCACAGGAAAAAGTATCAAAAAAGTTTTAAATTCATTACATTTATGTTAATTTAGTCCTAAACTTTTCAATTGTACCAAATGAGTCTTAAACATTTGACATTTTATCAATGTAGTCCATCCGGCCAATTTTTGTTGGAAATTGCTGACGTGGACGCCGGCAGTCCTATATGGCATGAACGGCCGGCACTGATGCGGACAAATTTTGCAATTTATTATTATTTTTTATGAATTTCTTTTTCTTTTTTGTTTGTCTCTTTTCTTTTCATTCTTTCTCCACCGGTTGCTAGACCTTGGAGATGATAGACGACTAGCCAAAGGCGACAATCGGCGAGGGTAGCGACCCTTGCTGGCCTCTAACAAGGGACTCAGGCAAGGTCAAGCCTCATCAGAGGTCGACGAGAGAGCCTCACTTAGCTAGATCCAGCGAGGTCGAGCGTTGCTAGCCTCTAGCGGTGGCAAGCTTCGCCCGAGGCCCGTAAGGTTGCCACTCATCGACTGTGGCCTATCGCCGAGGCCCAGCGACCAGCAAAGGAAGAAGGGAAAAAAAAAGGAAAAGACAATAAAAATATAATAAAAAAATTTGGAAAGGTTGTCCACATTAGCACTAGTGGTGCTGCATAGGATGACCGATGTCTACGTCCGCGATTTCCGGCCAAAATTGGCCGGATGAACTACATTTGCAAAATGTCAAAGGTTTATGACTTAATTGGTATAATTGAAATGCTTATGACTGAATTGGCACAAGTAAAATAGATATAGAACTTTTTTGATACTTTTCCCGCTAGACATGCAATAAATGAAAACACAAAATGGATTAACTTTATTCACAATAAATAAATAAAACACAACACAACCATTTATGCGGTTCGATAAAAGGGATTCACCAAATCAAAAATCAAGAAACGTACTTTTGGTTATTTTGAAGAATCTTTACATAACTCGATTCTACAATCTATACTTAATTGTCATTGAGTCCTATTAAGAAGGAGATGACATACAGCCAAACAGAATGCATTTGATCGATCTCATTTCCATTATTCTACTATGAATATTTTTTAAAAAAGAAAGAAACTTGGTTTTTTTCTAAAAATTTGTGGAACCAAGGCATAAATCGAATTAAAGATAAAACCGAGTTGGATTAGAAAAATCAGCATAACCTAAAGTATAAAATAATCTCCTTTCAGTGGCATCTTTAGGTTTGCTATATAGTACTTTGCCATCTCTATTTGGCATTTGTTTAATTGTCTGAATTTGGAAATATGTAATTTCCTTAACAACTATACAGTCTGCATGCTCCAGTTTGATTCGGATTTTGCTTACGCGATTAAACTCAAGACATATTCTAAAAAAGAGAATCCTAAGGTGTCCCACACTTTGCCTCTAATTATTTATGGATGGGCATCTAACCACTAAAGAATTGCGAGGGAACCTAGGCATCCAATTCCGAAACAAGAGTTTGATGAAATGCTCAAAGTTATGTCCTTACTATTCTCATCAGAATACACGCTTGAACAAGAAAAGAACATAACAAAACTCTTCTGAAAACTAGCACCAACTAATTAGGAAAATATCATCCACTGAGAAATAGGAATCAAAGTGTTGGGAATCAAACCAAATGAACTACCGTGGTGAATAGTTATGATATTCTTTTCAATTGTAACTCTAATGAACATTACTCTCGCGATGATTAAAATCTTATGATTAGATGCATATGAATGTACTACTTGATTGGTTAAAGTCAAAAAAATACCCGACCCACTCAAGTTCGGATTACTGTGGTAAGAATGCGTGATATCTCGAGATTCAGTAGTCCAATTAAGATAAATTTGATATGGTTGAGAAACTCTTGGCTCGTACTACCTACTTATATCCTTTGGTCAAATATTTAAAAAGGTTTTGTATTGGTTGATTGGGCAAATTTCCAAAAAAAGAAAGTCCTAGATCAAAATTAGGTGCATGAAACACTTTAGTGAAGATCTCATAAGTCCTGTTGAGGGTGTACCTTGCTTTTCTTGCCAACGAAATAGATAACTATTATCTATAAATGGTCCTCCTAAGTAAGAGGTTAAACTACTTCGCATGAGGCATTGACCTCGGCATTCCTCGAGTGTTAAACACATAGAAGGTATTTCCTCCTCTTAGGGAAGAGAAAGATTTATGAGGGAATTAGGGAGTCTGAATGTATAGACACATGCACTTTAAAATAAGGAACGCAGACTTGTCAGTCCACCAGGTATATATACCTGGACAGGCGAGGCGGCTCCAATCGGAGTTTCGACTATGAAGAAACCTACAATCACCAAGGATCCAAAGAGTATCCCTGGTTTACAGGTTTCCTATCGAGGGTGTACTTTGCTTTTCTTGCCAATGAAATAGATAACTATTATTAAATGGGCCTAATTCCAAAAAAAAAAAAGCACCAAATTTAGGTCGAGTGACAATTCTTGCCTTAACTTTTTTTTGTCTAGCAAAAAAGTACTAACTTTAGGTCGAGTGACAATTCTAATCCCAACCTTTTTTTGTCTCATAAAAAATCACTAACTTTCACTTAAATCCCAAATCTGGCCCCCCTTGATTTAGAACCATTGATTATCCAACTTAACTATTTCATCTCAGCAATAAATCCACGTGGCTTGCTGGCTGGATTTAAGGCACTATTCATTATCATCTTCTCTGAGCCACAGCTTGAAGAATAACAATGAAACTGTACGTTTCTTTCACTCCACCGACAAATCAAAAAGATCTAAATTGAATCTCTATGGTAAGACTTCATAATCTAAAGTTGTAGACCACCGCCCGTCGACAGACACCATAAACAAGATCTGCCAAGCTCATGACCATAACTTTTTTTCTTAAACAAGAGTGACTTCAAACATAAAGTCAACGGAGGCCAGATTTGGGATAAATGGTTAAAGTTGGTAATTTTTAATGAGAAAAAAAATTTGGGACTAGAATTGTCACTCGACTTAAAGTTTGTGTTTTTTTACGAGACAAAAAATAATTTGAGCCAAAATTGTCACTCAACCTAAAATTTATGTTTTTTTGGAATTAGTGCTTTAGAAATGGAGGTATCGAAACACGTGGTGGCGTTGTGGGCCTCGAAGACAACGATGTCATAAAGTCAATGGGGTCTGAACGTTTTCTAAAACAATCCCAAAACAAAATCACCGAACTTGTCAGAATATTCAAACAATGCTTTAAAATGGTTGGCATAAAATCCAACGGGTTTGAATATATTTTTAAAACAATCTCGAAACAAAATCCCATAATATCATCGCCGTAAACTGACCGCACCTTTGCCAATCCAAAGTTATTTGAAGTTAATCACAAAGTACTTTTGCCAAGAATCTGTTGACTCTGTGCATTGGAACCGAGTTCATTTGAGTTTCCATCTCATTTCAAGAAACTAATGTCGTTCGGGCAAACAAATTCAAGAAAAAACCCAATTGCTCAGGTTGCATTTAACATTGCTCTACTCTCAGTTGATGTGTTAGTAAGTCTAAAGGTACATGTAGGTCTAATAATTGTTTTTCAGTTTTGGAACCGTTCCCGTCACGTTAATTTTATTTGCTAATCTACGAAATTATGTAAGATAGAAAAAATGACATAAATAATTCCCAAACTTTGGTAATATGCGATGTCGGCCCCAAACTTTTAATTTATTCAAAATGTTATATAAACTTTGATCCAATGTGCAATGCCGTCCCTTATCATGGACATTGGTCTAATGTTTATCAATAGTTCATGGACCGCACTAAAATAATTAAAAGTTTAAGTGCAACATTGCACATTGGGTAAAAGTTCATGGACCACATTGTGCAAATAAAAAGTTTAGAAATACCATTGTACATTAGATCAAAATTTATGGACTATTTATGCTATTATCCCTATTAAGGCAAGGCTGAACGGCGGTACAAGGAAACTAATAAGCCTTACCGTATTAGCAACTAATTGAACAAACTAACAGGTTTGGATGATTCTTAACCACACGTTCGTTGCACATGTATTTCCAGCAGTGAATTGCCGGTCACAGGATACAGGATACCACGTTCACACCAACAATCAAAAGTTTCAGGAAAGCCTTTTACAGAATCCGACTCATATTTACTGGTGATTCCGGCGACAAATTCAAACGAATTCGAAGCGCATAAGAAGCTTCACGGATCGGTACTTCTCTCCCTCGTAGTTATGGAGCGGAACCGATCGTATCCCTCTTCGTAGCTCCCATACTGGTAGGCATGTTTGGCCTCCAAAGTCATCCTTTTCCGAAATGTCATACTCATGAACTTCGATCCGAAGTAAGGCCAGTTCCGGAACAGTTAAAGGAAACTCGAATTCTTCATTCCAAACCGGTGTCCAATTGTCTTCCAGCGTTCTCGTTTTCTTCATGACAGTATCAGCTGGAACTCCGGCAATTCCTACCTGCATCGATGTTTGCTGTTATGTATTAAGCTTTCCCAAACATTTCCACGAAATCAGTCGAAAGTTTGTCATGGTTCCGATCGACTGCCAATGCCTACTCTTCTATGCAACAAGAAGAAAAAACTGTCGGTCAATATCGAAGGGAACACGAGGCTTCCTTTTAGACTGGTTTGGAGCTCCATGATTTCTCACTTGATTCCTACTGCAGAGACTTTGTTCTTTTTGGTGAAGGATGCAGCAAACTTGAGAGTAACATAAGAAGCAAACAACGATTAATTGTGTTCTTTCATGCGACTAAGATATATAGTAGCCGGAACATGATGGTTGAAGTCAGCTCGATAGAGCAAGAACCATGACGATGCAGATAATAACCTGTCAAGTGACAGCAGAGTATGTATCTAGCTATTGTATCAACTTACCCGGGTGTAAAAATCCGGAGGTGAGTATGCGTCGAAATGCGTACGATGAAAATCGTTGTACCATCCTTCTCCCATATACACAGTCACCTGCCAAGGGATAAACAAAAAAATGGAAAAGGACCTTCGGAAGAGAAACAATTGCAATTGGAAACAATGGCAAGCACTTGAAGGCCCTTGGAAACGAAAAGGCGAGCAAGTAAACTCACTCACCTTCAAAGTTGTTTTCACTGAAAGTTTGGCCTTGGGATCGAAAATTTCATTATCCGGGCCAGATTTCATTAGGAATTCTGGTTTCTTGACATAACCACAGCCACCATTTGCTCTGAACATTCCATGCATTAACCAGAGTGGTCTTCCATGTCCCTTGTCAAAACAAGAATAGCTATTAGTACCTCTGTCACAGCAACACAGGAACTGCTATTTTTCGTCTGCCCTTTATAATGAATGAAAAAATTTCCGCAAAATCTTTGGTTCAATCTCATCTCATTTCTTATCTTCACATATGCCAGTACTAAATGATAAATGACGCCAGAATTTAGCCTCTATTTTCACATCAAAACAAGGTCTACCAATGAAAGACCAAACTGTGCTCTACAGAAAATGCCTTGGAAAAACAACTTTTGCTTTGATCATCTCTAAAAAAGTGGGAATGATGCGGGTAATATTCTAGGGAAGACTAATGGCGGGCAAAGAATTATACCTGCATGTTGAGCGCGACCATTTGAGCTCCGTACCTCCACCCGATCATTGGATTGTAGTTTGACGAGTCTATGCGCGTGGACTTTGGGAATACCCTCAGCAAGTTCCTCTGGGTGAACCTTTCATAGACAGATCCAGTTAAAATTAATGCGTATGATTTAAAATAGATTATGAGAAATATGGAAGAGCTACACTCATGATTGGACATACCCAGCTGAGTATATTGTCCACTACTGATGGAAATTTTAACTTCATTTAATTTGATATACTTTAGCAGTGAGCTGAGATCAAGCATGCATCATTATAATTTTGACATAACCTTTCCGGCCTCAACCCTTTTGACATAATTTTCCCCGGCGTGCTTCCTCTTTCCTTTGTCTAGATGTTAAGATGTCGGCCAACGACATGCACATGTAATACCTGATAAGGTCTTTCCCATGGGCAGCGACTGCTTTTTCGAGCTTTTGCTCATCTAAACTCAGGCGTGTGACTTTATCAGGATTAACCCTCAGGTAATCTTTCAGTCCACCCTTTCGTTTCACTGCATGGATAGCTATAAGCCTCACATATGCTGGCACCACATCTCGTTGTGCTTTATCACCGTCATCGAGTACTTCCTCATGATTATTGTCTTCTTCATCAGAACCGTTCTGCCAAAAGATCGTGATTTCAGTGATCAAAGAAAGTTGTTTTGATGATTTTTTACAAAACGAAAAATCTTTCCATCATATACCGAATCACCAGCTGCAGAGTCCCCCACTTTGAGTTCGGGTAATTCTTTACCCCAAGCCTCTTCATCGGTCGAGGCCTTGCTCTTTTGCTGTTCAATTTTCTTTTCCTTGGTTTCTTGGGCCTCAAGATACCTCTTAGGCGGTTTTGTCGATATTATGATATGCTTCTTGAGTGACTCCGGCGAAGGAAATTCCTTTAAGCATTCCGATCCGGGACAAAACAGCATGTCTCCATAGGTTTGATTGACCATCTACAAATAGATCCGAGGACAGTAAACAATACGGAAATTTAATATGGGGTACACATTCACACCCAAAATTTCAAATAGACTCGCCTCGGCCACTTTGGCCTGAAGATCCTGAGTGATGTGATCTTCCAAGGTTATGATGACCGGATACTCGGATGTGACGAACGCATGCTCCTTAATAGACCTCAGACACTTTATAAGTTCCACTGGAGTGGTTAAAGTCCTAAATAGATAAAACGAAATCAATAGCAGTACATATGGAGCATGCAAACAAGCTAGATCAAACATCAGATCCTGCAATCTTTTCTTTTGAGAGGAGCAAAATACTGACACATTTACAAGTTTCCTGTGCCATACATTTAGAGCATCTCAGCATCATGCTTCTCAAGTGGTTTTCGTTATTAAAATGTTTCAGGGAGTTAATATGCAGGGAATGAGATTAGTAATAATTCTGGCTAGACAACATGGACATGTAGAATCATGTCACGCGCGATCATTTTACCCTCCATGAAGAACATCGATGTTGTCCTTAGATGAATTTGGCCATAAATCCAATTCAATCACTCTAACGCCTCTCTGGAGCGCTTGGATGATCGGAACATCGCTGCAATCACTGCTTATCTGATTACCCGTTAGATATGAATTGTGGCCTGTGTATATGAAATAATGAGACAGAGGGGCATCCATGTCATGGTGCACCTGGATTAGATCAAAAAAAGAAAGAAAGATGTCACTACCAATTATTGTCAAGAAAAATAAGGGATGATGCGGGTCGACAGGTCATATATTACTTGAATACTCATGCTGGTCGCCAGATACTGCATGCGGTGCTTATATCAGTGAGACAACACATGAATGATAAGCTCCAGAACAACACAGGAATGGCACTAAAAGTAAGCCGAACTGCACCACTTCTTTTATGACAAGGAAGTTGGCCTAGGTAGGTGAATCTTGGGGCATGAAGCACCCACTGATCTCACATGGTCCAATGCCCTATGAGTGGCTCAGACATAGTTTGTTCTCGTTAGAAATGGATCTGTGTCATAAATCTAAGCATATTCACTGAACTCCTAAGTTGACCTGTTGTATGACAGTGCTCCCAGTTCCTGTAAAAACTGAGTTCATTTCGTTTTTCTTCAGGACGTGCCTAGATTTGAATGTAATGAAAAGGAGAGTACTGAGCTTCTATGAGGACTTTGAGTTTGAGCATCTTCAACGAAAAATATTAATAATGTGTACTGTACCCATTCTCTTTTAATAATAGAAATAAGCCAACAAATACAGTGTTAACTGTACCGCAGACCCTTTTTCTCATTCTTTTGGAAGGGTACAATAATGGAAAGGAAAAACCCATCCTCATTGACTTTTCTAACTTAGCATCCCCAGAAGATTCACACTGATTGGAAAATGTTTTTAGAGATATAAATCCTCGTTTCTTATTAAAAGCACTCATATCATCAAGTTCTAACCATCTCAATCAAGCTAAATTTCATATGTCTAAAGACCCAAGAAGAAAGAGAAGAAAAGAGAGTGGAAAAGGGTTCAAAGAGTGCAAGGATCTCATCCAAACAACAAAGATTATTAAGTGATGGATATTCATGCAGCATCATATTTGGATCTTTAGATATAAAAATAGATTTTCATAGGTCCGGAAAAACATTTTTTATTACCCCTTGATTTGGAGAGAGAGGAGGGTTGATATCACCAAATAGGTATCTGAAAAAGGCTTCAAAGCTGAGGCCCTTCCTGTGAAGTATGTTAAGATGCTTGAGCTCACGTAGGCTGTCCACTATGGCCTGTGCGTCCTCTCTCGTGGCTCTCTCTTCCTTCTGAACTTCGGTCAAGAACCTGTGGAGATGATCGACAGTCATGGTCCCATTCTCTGAGTATCGCACAAACAGGCTCTTGATCTCGTCCGGCGCTTCCGCCACATGGAGCTTGAACCTCCTGCGGAAGCAGAAGCACACTCGGTAGGTCTGTTTTGACATGAGTTTTGCAGCAGAATATGATCTTCTGTCGATAATCCGAGAAGACGAAGAAGAAGAAAGGAAACAAGAACAAGGAGCTTGATCCTCTTCTCTCTCTTTCTCGAGGGGGGAAATGTTAATGATATGATCTTTTGAGTTGACCCATTTCTTGTCGGTTGTTTCTTGTTGGGGCCAACTAATAAAGTGATGCTCGCATGTTATGGATTGATACTTGGGGATTGGTCGACTTTTAATCTTTGAGAGTGATTCATGAAGAGGGAAAAGGTAATTGTGATCCGAGAAGAAGATGCTTCTTGCACAAAAGTTGATGTGAGGAGTATATGTTTTGCTTTTTGTAGTATATTCGAGAGAGGTGTTAAGCTCTGTCCATGCATAAGGTGGCATTTTCTTCTTCTTTTATAAAGTTGATCGTATGGCCTCATGGCAGCCCATAACAAAGGATGAGAGAAGTACAATAATTATCTTGACCATTGTAATGTTTATGGAACTGAAATCCAATGTAATTCTTGGGTGAATGAAGCTTCACTTGCTCAAAAAAGAAAAGCAAAATGGATGAAAAGGTTAAGGAAAAACCTAATACTATCTACAAAAGCTATGATCACAGATGAGTGTAAAAGGGAACTAAATAAAAAATCAAGAAACATATAATTGGTTATTTTTAAGAGTACCTACAAAACTCAATTCTACTATCTATACTTAATTATTATCGAGTCATTTTAAGAAAGAGATAATATTCAACAAAAACCCAATCACCTTCATCCCCATCTTAGTCGTGATAATAGGCTGCGTGACACCTAACTTTCCAATGCGTTTGATTGATTTATCTGCCATTATTCTACTATGAGTATTCTTAAAGAGTTAACTTGGTTTTTCTAAAAATTTGTGGAATCAGATTATAAGAATAAACTGCGCTCGACTGAAAAATTCGACATAAACCAAAGTACAAAACAATCTCCCTTTAGTGGCAACTTTAGAGTTGCCGTACAGCGACTGGCTATCCCTATTTGTCGTTTATCCGGTCGTTTAAATCCAGAAATCTGTAATTTTCTGATCGATTTTTATACTCGATTTTCGAGTGAGAATGAGAGATACGATTGGAAAGTAGACCAACATGTTGACGACGATGTTAGGCTCAAGTCGCCTTTGGAAGGAGCAATCCCAGCGTGTTCCACACATTGCCTCTGATTGCCTTTGAATGGACGGACATCGAACAACTGGCAATTAATGCTACACCACATTTCCACCATAACAGGACAAGAGCTGCTTAGTGCTTTTCATGCAGTACCAGCAATCAATGTGTGTTGCTGTTTCTTGGGCCCAAAAGAATATGATGTTTGCAGGTGTCAGTCCAAAAGAAGAAGATCCACCGAGGAAAATTACTGTTAAAAGCAGATGAAGAAAACGATGGTCTGACGTTACATTCAATCTCAAAGAACTGTGAACAAATGACCACCGTCGGCCGAAACATTGATCAACCAAGCCCAGCCAGTCATAAACCGGTGGCTGAAGAAGACACGTGTAATGCGATTCAGATAGGACACAGACAAGGGACAGCAGAAGCAAGCATCTGTCTCACTGTCCGCGACGATAAGGTCCCGGGAGAGAGTGATTGCTAAATGTTAAATATAATATGTAATTTAGGTTTACTAATCATTCTTTCCTTATATAAAGGGACTTGACCTTGTAGTTCGAATGCAAGTAATATACATAAAATTCACTCATCTCAACTTGGTATCAGAGCCGTTATTACCTGAGGAGCGCCCATTGAGTCTGCCATATCGTGGCCGCCACGACGCCAGCCGCACCGGCCGCGCCGTCCCGGTTCTCCGACAAGACCGAAGCTTTTCGTCTCTACTCGGCATACTTCCGCTGCTCATTTCGGAAAACTGAGACCACCAGCAGACTCGCCGCCCTCAGGCGACCCAGATCCTGAAATTTCATCATCAACGGCCGCCGGACGCCGCCGCACGCACCGCCCCGCGCCACTGCGCCTTGGACCCAGGAAGTCCACCGCCGTTCACCGCTGTTCACCGGTGTTTTGGACATCCTCCGCTGTGTTTTTCCAAAAAACCAAAACCAACCCACGACTCCCCGCCCTCAGTCGAGTCCGCCAGTCAAATTTCGCCGCATTCCTCCGCCAGACGCGCCCTCACGCGCCGCTTCAAGCTCTGCGCGTGAGATCCACTCGCCAGCACGAGCCTGCACGCGTCGGCAAGCGCTGGCATGCGCCTACACGTGCCTGCACTCGCCCGGCACACGCCTGGCCCACGCCGGCATGCGCCTGGCCCACGCCGTCACGCGCCTGGCCCACGCTCCCAGCTGACGTCATTTGCCACGTCACCAACACGTCATCCGTTGACTGGTCGTTGACCGGTGTTGACCAGACCGGTTTTTCGGCCGGTTTGACCATTCCTGACCGGTTTTCGGTGTTTTCCAATTGGTTCTTGAGGTATTCCGACATCCTGAGCTGGTTTTTGGTGTTATTTTTCCCATATCTGCGCTTGGTATACTACATTCCATTGATTCTATAGTAGTAAAGTGTCTTTCATGGATAGAATGGATAGAATGGAAGTCTCAATGCCAATTCAGACTATTTTGAATGGTTCCAATTATATTTTATGGTCTCAAGAGATATCAAGTTTCTTAAAAGGACGCCGGCTTTGGCGTTATGTCACTGGACAAATTAGGGAACCTACTAGAATTGCTGAAGAAACTGATAATCAATTTGTGGATCGTTTGGATGAATGGGATAGTAGAAATCATCAGATTCCAACATGGTTTCGAAACACTTCGATCCCATTTATTCGACTCCAGTTTGGCCTTTTTAATACAGCCAAGGAAGCTTGGGATCTTCTTGATCGTCGTTACTCTAGTTCAGATGTTGCCCATCAATATCGGTTGTTAGGGACTTTATATCACATGCGTCAGGAGCCAGGTCAGTCCATTAATGATTTTCTATCATCTATGCATGTTATTTGGGATCAGTTGACCTTGTGTGAACCACGCTTGGAAGGGGATAGTAACATTCGCAAAGTTGCTGAACATCGTGATCGTATTCGTGTCATGCAATTTTTGATGGCTCTAAATGATGAGTTTGAACCTGTGAGAGCTTCCATTCTACATAGAGATCCCTTTCCTTCTATTGAGACAGTTGTATCAGATTTACTGAATGAGGAGACTCGGCTCGCTACCTTGAAAACGCAACGTCCTGCTGTGCCTATATCCATGCCCACGGATGCAGTACTTGCCGCTTCGAGTTCTTCGTCCATGCGCCGTCCATTTTGCAAACATTGTCGCCGACATGGTCATATGGCATCAAATTGTTATCGGCTACGACCTATGCAACCCACAGGATCGACCACTCAGCCTCATAGCCGAGGTCCTTCACGAGGTCCCTCTGTCGGTCCATCTACCAATGCTACCACTGTAGAAGCTTCTTCCCATGGATCATCCCACACACTAGTGTCTCTAGAGGATCTTCGCACCATTCTCCGAGAATCTGGTACCTTTACCCCTCCTATTCATAGCACTTCTACTATGTCTACTACTCCAGGTATTTCTGATTCTTGGTTCTTTGATTCTGCTTGTTGCAATCACATGACATCAAACTCTGCCTTATTTCAGTCTAAATCCTCCACTTTACATGCACCTCATATTCTTATTGCCGATAATTCACATATGAGAGTTAGTCATACAAGAAACATTTCCACATCTACATTATCTTTAACTAACACATTCCTGGTTCCTAAACTCTCACTTAACTTGATCTCTGTCGGCCAATTGTGTGAACTTGGTCTTGATATTCACTTCTCTTCTCATGGTTGTCGTGTGCAGGATCCTCGGACGGGACAGACACTTGGGACAGGCCGTAAAGTGGGGCATCTCTTTGAGCTTGTTTCCCTAAATATTCCGATCTCTTTTGCTGCTTGTGCTGCCACAGTGTCATCTGAAACTTGGCATTCTAGGTTAGGTCATGCTTCCTTTTCTAGGTTAAGCTCTTTAATTTCGAGTGGTCATTTAGGTTCTGTTGACACTAAACATTTTGACTGTCTGCCTTGTAAGTTGGGAAAACATTATGCTTTACCATTTCAGACTAGTGATTCTGTGTCTCATGCTCCTTTTGATCTCATTCACTCTGATACATGGGGACCTTCTCCCACTCCCACCATGGGTGGCTCTCGCTATTTTGTCATTTTTGTGGATGACTATTCTCGGTATACTTGGGTTTATCTTATGAAAAATCGTTCTGAACTTTCTCGTATTTATTGTGATTTCGTTGCTATGGTTAAAACCCAATTTTCACGAGATATTAAGATTTTTCGTACTGATAATGCTATGGAATATAAAGATACAGAATTTCTTTGGATTCTTTCTCAAAATGGTACTATCATTCATCGCTCTTGCCCTGGCACCTCTCAACAAAATGGTAGAGCTGAACGTAAGCATAGGCATATCTTAGATGTTGTACGCACTCTGCTCATCTCTGCCTCTTGTCCTGAACGGTTTTGGGGGGAAGATTGTCACACTGCTGTTTACACTATAAATCGTACTCCATCACCTATTATAGGTCACATCTCTCCTTACGAGCGTTTGTATGGCAATGTCCCAAATTACACTCTTCTACGTGTTTTTGGTAGTGCCTGTTTTGTGCACCTTCATCCACATGAGCGCACGAAATTAGAACCTCGTGCCCATGTATGCTGCTTCCTTGGATATGGCATTGAGCATAAAGGGTATAGATGTTGAGATCCCACTTCCAATCGTCTTCGTGTGTCCCGTCATGTCACGTTTTGGGAACACAAGATGTTCTCCTCTATTCATCCCTTCGACCCCTCTACTCATGTTCCTTTCTTTACCAATCCTTCCGTGGACTTATTTCCAGAAGACACCACACCTCCATCCACATCTAACTCTTTCATTCCAGATGTACCTTTCTCTCATCTTGAAGCAGGACATTCTGGTGACCCCACTTTGGCCACTTCTGACGTGTCTGCACCTTCCGCGGATTCTCCACTAGCGGTCATTCCTTCCTCCTCTGATCGTCGCCCCACCAGAGTAAGTCAACCTTCTGTTTGGCTTCGAGATTACCATTGTTATTCTACGATAGCTTCCCTTCATGAACCTCGCACATACAGAGAAGCTAGTACTAACCCTCTTTGGCAGAAGGCAATGGCAGATGAGTTACAAGCTTTAGACAAATCTCATACTTGGGATTTAGTTGCTCTGCCTCCTGGTAAGTCCGCTGTCGGTTGTAAATGGGTGTACAAGATTAAGACAAAAGCAAATGGTATTGTGGACCACTATAAAGCTC